GAGGCATATAGATTCCAATTTAAAGCTTGTTGGAGGAAAATAGCACCGGAATAGAGATCAACAGATATTTTGGTAAAGATTGATAACATTAGTGCAAGACATGTTAAATAAACTCGAATACGTTCACCACCGTAACGCATTTTTATATATTGTGGCATTGTGAATACTTCTGCTTTCATATAAATTGGAACGAATAACCAACCGAGTACCATCAGCCAATGAACCGCCTATTATATAGAAGATGTTCTTGATACAAAAGTATTCTTTTCTTACACCTATTTCATAACCAGCAACAGCAATGCCGCTTGAGGCACCAGATCCAGCAAGGCCAATGAAATGACCACTGCCAATGTTCGATGCAAATAAGGATGCGCCCACCTAGAAGATTATTGAATGAAATTGAGAAGAATTGTTTGAAGACTTTTTACCGGTATAAAATGCATTGAACGACCAGCAAGAAAATATCCACCTGAATAGAAAAATATCAAGTCCTTGACGAATAAAAAAGAATATATCTTTTCTCACCAACACTGCCACGATTCTTGCATGAACTCTAAAGACAATCAAATAATCAAATGAACTTTCTTGAATCTCTCTTACCCAAACTCCAAAGCCGAGAATGAGCAAAAAATAGAGTAATAAAACTAGTATATCCGACCAATGTAGTGCTGTTCCGATGATGGCAACCATATTTTTGATTTGATTTTTCACTGTGTAAAATCTTTATCGATTTATCTTTATTACCCACATTATTTAAAGATCAAACATAATGACATTTTCTTCCTCAAGTGCTTTGAAAAAATGATGATTTTTATTTAAAAGTTATGGTAGAATATCAAGGAGAACAAACGCAAAGAATGACATTTTTCTTTCATAATATAAATCAATCTTGCTATTTGAAATATAATAAATGTCATTTACAAGTCGTCCAATGAATGGAGTTCTGGATACTTTCTTTTCAAGTTGAATTGTTAATTCTTGAGTGTATTTATCCGAATCAAGTTTTACTTGACGATTTTGTTTAATAATCTATCAAATAATTATCAAACAATCAATTTCAATGTTTTGATATTGATCATTTCTCTTCTTTGTCTTATTTAATTTAAATTTAACAAAAGAACGAGTAGATGCTTAATTCGTGTTCGAATATAAATGAAATTTTTCGAAAACCTCTTCTATACGAAATGAAGATAATAGTAAAGGTTTCTGTTGATGTCATCTATGAATATATACATTTATAATTAGTGTAGAGCATCCATGTCGAAGCAGCCAAATAGCAAAAGATTGATTTTATTGTTATTTATCATTATATTGGCTGACAGTTATATATTAGAAAAATAAAATCTATTCTATCGATCAACGTGTTTCATGAAGTGATATATAGGCTAATTAATAATAATAAATAGATCATTGATATAGCGTAAATGTAGACCACCACTCGTATTAAACTGTTTGACGATATCTCGTTCATAGAAGAACATATAACAGTTGTGATGGTGAACGTAAACAGAGAACCCATAGCTTCACCTCAAATTTGATGATAAAATTGGCCATCATAAGAGAAGTAATTATTTTGCATAACAAATGTGACTAAACGTATAATAAATTTGTTTTAATTCAAGATGATCTAACATGTTTTTCAATGTTAAAAATCCTTCTACATGCAAGATCATCGTATAAAGATCAGCAACATCTATTGTGTATAATAAAGTTTCTTGTTTCATATTAATTTTTGATCATTCTTTCCATTTTTTGACTAATTCGAAGCCAGACGTGACAGTCATATTTAAGACCACCTTGTGAATAATGGTCATTATAAGCCATCGAGAAATTGAACATCTTTATAATTGAATGTTTTAAACCAGAAATAGTTGGTCAACAGGAGTACCAGATCTATGAGCTTTTAGTAAATAATAAAGATGAGCGAATTTAACTTTATCTATTTTCATACATAATTGATCATATTGTTTTGATGTAAGCCATTTAGCCAGACGTAATTCTAGTAAAAATTTATTTGTGCGATTAATGATATCTGATAGATGGTCAGTACAGCTATTACATTACCAGGTAATTCGATGTTGCTGAATAATCTTATCATATGGTACAAGTATCAGTATAAACGAGTCAATATAAAATAAGGAATCAATATATAATACTATATCTATTATTCTATAAGTAGATTTATCTCAGGGACATAATGTACCTGATGAAACACAAGGCGCAGAAACGATTTGAAATACATATAGATTGACTCCGCTTTATCTGCTGATTCCGAATATAACAATGATTAGAAGTCGAATGAACGTTATTCTGCGGGTAAGAATGGAGTGTAAGTTTAACCTTGTTAACTGAAGGCATACCGGGACTTATTAGGATTTACTAATGTGTATCAGTATTTCAACGCACCCACAGTGCAGGTATGTATGCATGTACTAAGAGACGGTGTGAGGTTTTTTTCGAAATGCATAGGAATTTATTCAAACAATCCCAATAAATTCCAAACAAATAAGTCCTGGTGGCTGCTACGTTAACTACCACAATGCAATTCGAACATGAGGATGAGGGCGTGAGTTTGAATATAAATTGAAGTTGAGGATGTGGGTGTGGGCGTAGTTGTCGGTTCAATATTAAACCCACAGAAACTTGCACACCAACACTCACCCCACACCCCACACCCTGGAGTGTTCTTAAAAAATGATCTCGATCTCCATACTTTATATGCACAAAAAGATTTTAATGGTTACCTCAGATCATTTTTAGCGATGATACGTTTAACTAGACTATCAAAACCGAAAGAAAATTTTCCACAAATGTGGTAGAAACCCGCCGGATTCATTCAACTATTTATCTTATGTGTGACAATTAACGAGAATAATGTGACGTTGAAAGAGCTTTTAATGCATCAATAAAAAACGTACATCGATAACTGACATCTATATTTATACTTTTAAAAATAAGTAGTTATAATTGAATATAAATCAACAATATCCTCAGATTAGGTTCGATATAGTTGAAGTGTGAGAGCGTGCATGTGTCATTGAAGAGGAGGCAAACACCCCACATCCCCCATCCGTTTACAGTACACTATTGGCTAGCTTCCTTCTTTTATTCTGTGCACAAGTTGCTTACTCAATCATGCAATAGAGTGTCCTAAAAGTTTCAGCTCTTTAAAAGCACTTGCAAGAAAAATTCTTGTATATACATACAACGAGTACTCTTAAGACGCTTTTATCCTTGATTCGCTTTTTCTCTGTATTTTGATTAATGTTCTTTGTTGGAGAGAAATACTCTATGCTTTTTCTCGACTCTTTTTGCTTAATATAAATGTTTGCTTCGTAGATGATTCACTCAGGAAACTGTAAAAAGAGTAATGTTTCTCTTGCACGCATACTTCATGGACACATGTATTAGAAGTTTCAGCATGGTAAGTGAAAGTAATTGGTTTGTCGAGAAGAAAATGTGTTGAAGGCGATTTATTGCGCAGCAGTAGTGGCATTTTCCTGTTAAGTTATTTTAGATTTAAATTTTCCACAATTTATTTTTGGATTTAATAAATTTTCGTAAATGTAAATTGAAGGTATGGGCATCATATTGAGGGAAAGCTGACACCCACACCCTCCTGCAACCTTTGTTCTTATACACGCCATTTTACCTTCGTATAGCTTATGGCAAAGTCGAAGCATGCTATTAAAAGAGCAGATGATATAACTTTTTGGCAATATTCTCGCAATTACGTGATGGGAAATGTAGCATAAATCTTTGTTTTCCTGAGAAATTTAGCCATGACATTCTTTGACTAGAGCAAATAAGAATCTCATTCATTGTCAATAGTTGAGTGAAGTTTTGTGTGCTTTATGAGAGAAGTACGAATGAAGATAGCGATAAGAACTGATATCGAATGCAGAAAGTCTCTTGAGCAAGCACAAAATCTGCTGTCGAGAGTAGTGACCGGCGTGACTGCCGTGACTATCAGTGAGTCACGGTCACGGTCACAGTCACGGTCGTGACCGTGCGTGACTTTTTTTAAAGATCGTGACCGTAACCGTGACCGTGACTGGAGCTTGGTCACGGTCAGTCACGGGAACTTTCTCAAAATTTTTGAAATTCCTGAGGGGGAGTAAGGGGACCTTCGCGAAGCTACCGTCTCCCACCCGCTCATCAGTTTTTATGAATAATTTGGAAGTTTCTAGTATTCGTGATTTTGGAAACTCCTGAGGGGAAGCAGGGACACCTACGCGAAGCTACCCTCCTCCGATCATCACTTTTAATAGC